CCGCCTGCCTCAGACTCAAGGTGGCTAATTACAGGCAATTTGACTTGGAACTCAATTAGTTCCAGCACATTTTTCACTCCCTGGATTGTCTTATTGAGGAATTATAGCTGAAAGCACCATAAAAACATTGTTGTCAGTGGTTTGGAGCCCTATAGAGAATTAAAGGGGTCATATGATGTTGCTAAAAAGAACATTATTTTGTCGGCTTAGCGTGAGCTGAGGCCGGGCAAGAGTGAGCTGAGGCGGCGGGGTCGAGAACGGCGCGCCCGGCGGATTCGACGAATGAGCGGCAACCACATGTGACGCCCCCGGGCTGGACTCCGCTTCGTCCATGGTGAAAGCCGATCCGGTGATCCACAGCACTAAGTTGATGTATTTCCTCAGCGACCAGCACGGATCAGCTCCAGGCATGACGAAGCGGATATCATCCTCTTTTGGAAGACCAAACAAAGTAGTTTCACTTTCACAACGAAACACACAGCGCCTTCACGACATGGCGGCGGCGGCAATAACAATACAACAGCGAGAATAAAAGTGACCTTCTTTCTTTGGGTGAACATTTGGGCGGCGTTATGCAAATCTTCCCACACAGTGACGTAGACATGTGGGGGCGTGTTAGAATGAGCCGTTTTAGGTAGGCGTGGTTGACTCGTAACTTTTATAAAGAATATCTCTTTGGATTTGAAACTTTAGTCTTTGCAACTTTACAGGTCTTCTTTATGCACCAAGAGCTTGTAACACTCCAAAGAGAAAGGAAAAATTGAAATCGCATCATATGATTTAAAAAGGGCCTTTAAAAAGCCCTTTCCAGATAGCATCTGTCATGCACGTAGCACGTAGTAAGCACACGCTTACTGTATAGCCAGGTGTTTGGTGCGATCAAATCTGATTGCTTGTTGTTGGCCTGAGCAGCAGGAAAGCTTTTGATGGACAGCAAACCCCGCTATGCTCTGACCTATAATGCAAACTGCTAACCTGTAAAGCATGCAGCCCTCACGACACGTTCTTCTGGCTCAGCAAACAGCTATCAGAAGACCCTAAAGCTCCTGATATACTCCTGCCGTGACTCTTTTTTGTTCTTCACGGTTTGGAACTCCTGAAACAAACTTGAAACGAATTTCGTCTTGGTCTGATTTTGTTTAAAATGATGTTACACCGGTTCATTCCTCAACTTCATTCTTCACTTAAAGTGTATCTAAGCTTTAAAGCCCAAAGTATACTTCAGTTTTGTTGCAAACACTTAAGCCAAGTTCGAACTATAGGAGTTTTTAAATCCTAACTGATTATAAAATCTGGTTGCATCACACACATAAGGAGAATCTTTACAGATTTTCTTCCCTCAAAACTCAAACATGCACACACAAGATTTGAAAATCATAGCTCATCACACACTACAAGATATTAAGATGATCATGCCAGAAGGAGTACCTCACGTGATCTTATATGGAAGCGGACATAAACGAAATTGATAATTGTCTGTTCTTCAGCGAGAAATGGAGGTGAGATTTATATGCCAATTTTAATATCTGTTAACAGTAGTATGCTAACTAACGTTAGCCACAAGGGCTAAAAGGTTTACCGTTGCTTAGCCACACCATCAGCACATTAGTTTATAGCGCTAGCAGCTTTCTACACTCACCCGACATGTTCAAAACTGAGGGGATTTCTCCCCAGCTCTTCTCTTTGTCTGTACAGTTGTGGTACGTATACTTTATACAGGCAGTCGCGTTTCACGGTCGCCATTTCAAAACTTCTCTCAGCCTAGGACTTAATCAAGGGGGGCCCATTTGTGAAATTACCCGAAAGATTTCAGGTCCCCAAAGCTTTTGCTCCCCCCCTCCCCCCCTCATTATCTCTCCGCCCTCCCCCACTGCGCCACTGATTGCGTGTCATTAACAGGCCGGCATCGGCTCTGCTGCTGGGAAGGTATGCCTTTGAATCAGAGTTGGGCCACATGTGCCTTTGAACTCTCTTGTTATCTGTGCTACGCCACACATTTTAGAGCTTTTCGATAAGACAGCTGATTTTGTGGTGGGGGTTGGCGATTTACTTGAGGGTGCCGTTTTTGGTACTTATTAGCTCTGTTTCAAAATCTAGTGAGCTGCCTACCAAGTCAGCATTTTACAGCATCATAGACATGTTTTGTCATGAAAACAGATTGAAAAAGCATGTTGCATGATTATGTTGCCTACTAAAGGCCAAAGTATACTTCGGTTTTTACGTGTACGTGAGGGTCCGCGTACAAACACAAATTTCACTATCAGAATAGTATGTGCGTACTGTACGCACACCATCTGATTTTTGTGACCGTGCATACTTTGTACGCGCAGGTCGCACATGCGCATTGACTTGGTTTCCACAAGGTGGCAACACTGGCCCGACTGCAACAACAACAGACGGCTGCATTGACAAGCGCTTATGTGAGAGGGTTATGAGATAGCAGCAACTTTAGTTTAAAAGAGTACAAAGAGTTCATAATTTAAGAAGAAATATTGAGGAGACGCTGGACAAAGATGAAGCTTTCTAGAGCATGTGTCGACCGCCTGTGTTCGCGTACACCTCAAATGGACTATACTTTGAAAGGCTACATATGTTGTATTCAATTCTGGAAAGTATTGTTAAAATATTTCAGTGCAGTTACATTGACTATTTTACCAAATAATCGTGTTTTATGTATTTTATGCTCATAAGAGTGTCATACCATTAGTTTAGCAACATGCTAACAGACCATGATATACAAGTCAAAGAATGAACTGGCAGAGCCGAACGTGGAAAATGCAGTATACCTGGGTCTTTAGGTTCCATTTGGTTATGATGCTGCCTCAGAAGGCAGATGCCATTGTAGGCATTTAAACAGCAAGGCAGCTCACTAGTTTTTTATATCCATGTCGGCCTCATACTGCTTGAGTACTTTGGCCCAGTGTTTTTTAGACCTGCAGTGTAAACATCTGAAAGGGTCTGTGTTTTTAATTATCTCCAGCAGTCCGGCCCCAGCTATCCTCCTAAACATATTTTTAAGTCACGTCGGCTCAGGCTCTCTTGGCAGTGCTTTGAGGGACGCCTGTATTATTTTTGGCCAGCAGTTCTGAGGTCTTTGTATGAACACGAAGGGGAAACCAAGGCCTGGCCAGGCTGGACTGGGACAGAGAGAGAGAGAGCCAGGGTGCACGGACACGGCCAGCCACCGGAGACTCCTGTTCCTCTCGCCCAGCTGGAGTTTAGCCTCAAACATGAGAAACTCAGTTTGAGTGGCACAACATTATCTGATGCCACTGATCTAATGGTGGATGGATTATTGGATTCTACAGACTCCATGAATTGCTTGATGAAAATGGTTTATCAAGCAGAGTTTAGATATATCACAGCCCTGTGATGCTATTGCTAGTCAAAAGCAATATCATGTATTTTTATTGTTCATTATTTAAAAAAAACTAAACAAAACAAAATAAAATAAAAGTTTCACAGTCTACAGGCTGAGATGCTGGGATAGGTTCCAGCATCCCCACAATTCTACACAGGACAAGGGGTTTGGAAAATGGATGAATGTAACATACCACAACACAACACAACACATAACAACACATAACAACATAAAACAAAACAAATCTCTCACACTTTCAGCTGCTCAGGTTGCCGACACCATTATGCATACTTATTTGCTTTTCATCCACATATTTATTTGGCATATTTTATATAAAATCAAACTGAAATACAATATCTCTCACACTTTTAGGTACAACAAAATAAAGTAAAATTAAAATTACACACAGTATTCCTATTTCTAATGAAATAGGTTTCACATTCTCATACTGAATCTGGATGGCATTTTATTGGATACTGCATATATTTAAGATAAATCGTGAATATTTTTGGTTTATTTTCCCGGAAGAGAAAGACTTCAATTTCAAATGTGAACATCTGCTAAAAGTGAGTTTTGTCAACCTTTAGGAGTACACTAGCACCTCAAAGCCAACAGACATCCACCAACAACCAACATTTACACTTTTTTTCTGTCGATCGCTCACTACTCCAACAAGTTTCTTTTAGTGACATTTTGACATATGTTCTTCTAACCACATAAATCTTTTTAAAGCTGGGTGTGTGTGTCTGTGTGTTTGTGCTCACACTCCACCTGGCAGTTGGTTGTTGAAGGCATCCGCTTCAGCCAAAGGCTATCTGTCTGCCTGCCTGCCTGCCTGCCTGTCTGTCTGCCTGTCTGTCTGTCTATTTAGTCCACCTCCGCAGGCAGCTGTCTGTCTGCACCATTCTTATGTTTTGTGTTTAACGACTAGGCTGGAAATTTTTCGCTGGAGCTCATCCAGACAGAGCTCAAATCCTGCGTTTCTGTTCATACGTTTAAAGTAGACATGTGGCCGTTTCTATTGACCTCTTCTGACAGACTGTTTCAGAGTCTCAGTTTTACTCCTACAAGAGCCTTGTGGGGGGCCTCATTTTACCTCAGTAGCATGAGAATATCTTGATTTTGATAAGTAACACAAGCACTGAGGTGTTCTGTTGGTCTCTCTGGAGATGTTATGGACCAGAGCTGTTGGTTTTGTGTGTGATGGCCTATATCCCAGCATGCTGGAATCATTTTAAGTTCCTCTAATAACAGGGAGACTTCAGAGGTTTTTACAGATCCTGCAGCCTGAGGCCTGATTTTTTTGTATAATTGCACACTGAAGTTGAGCCACGTCACGTCGGATTGACTGCACTGACGTCTGCGTGTGTGTTTATGTGCAGTGTATGGCCGTGTGTGTGGTGTATTAATGTTTAGCTGTGAATCAATGACATTGTGGAAAACCGCATTTACTCAGCAAAACACCTGTCTGTGATCGGGGTTGTCTTTCTGTCTTTTTCTTAAAATTTCCTGGACAGTACATGTACTGTTTTCAGCTGATTTTTTTCTTCCTGATGTGTTTTTGGAGATGGTTTTTCATTTGCAAGTGTCTGTAGGTTGTTTGAGACTGAGTTTGTCTTTTTTATCTTTTGTTCTTCAGACTGCCACCGACAGCTCCTCAAACTCATTTCAGAAGAAGGAGCTCGCTACACAGCTAGTGGCCACCTCCACCTTCTACGAGCCTCATCCACATCGCTGCATTCTGCAGTACCGGCCGCCTGAGCGCTACAGCCTGGATCAGGTGCGTATACCTCTGTAAATAAATACAATTCAAATTCACGTCTCGCACACTTTAATGCCCTTTGAATGGAACATATACGCTCCCTTCGAACTGGAATCATGGCAGAATATCCTGTGATGTCCACCGTTTAAGTTTGGAGATATTTTTTTTAAAGAAATTGCTACTTTTATTCAGCATGGATGTATTAAATGTATCAAAAGTGATGGTAAACACAGACTGCGCTTGTCGGAAGGAGGGACTTTGTAGAAAACGAAGCGTTTGAGAGAGGCGGGGCATAGAGGACCTACAATAATGTACAGTATTTGAAAAATAATGTGTTTTTTGAACATTAAAGCATGTCAACATATTCTGTTACACCAAATACACAAAATAATGATCTTTAAAAAAGCATCATATGACCCCTTTAATCTCCTAAAATTAAAGCGCACGTTTCTGCACAAGTTTGTTGTGTTTGGAACAACTTGAAAGTCTGGTAGTGTGTGATTCTCATTCAGATTTGAAAAACCGTGTAGTATATTCCAGCCTTAAATCAGATTACGTAATGAGTAAAAGAACATGGAACATGGAAATGACCTTTTTCAAATAAGTGACACGATTCAGTATCGTGAGAGAATAAAAGAACTGCGTTATATGATCTTACAGGCACAGTCATCCCTTTTATGCTCTTATTTTCTCTCGCCTCTCAGAAGTTCTCCAGGAACCCCTTCCTGTTTGAGGATGAGGAGATCGTCCGAATCAACCCCCGGGAGCGCTGGCTGATCACAGGCTACGAGGACTACCGATACGCCGCCATGCCGGACAAGTTCATCCAGCACGAGGACTCGGACTTGTACGTTCACATCGCTAAGAACGATCCCTTAAAGCACGACTACAACTACCCCTATGTGCCCAGCTCCGACTTCAGCCAGTGCGACCTCAAGAGCCACGGGGGCGACGGAGGCGTAGTGGCCACCCAGCCGCGGGCGTTCAAGCTCAAGGGCAAGCGAAGGAAAGAGGACGGAGAGCGATCGCGCTGCGTCTACTGCCGGGACATGTTCAACCACGAGGAGAACCGACGCGGACAGTGCCACGATGCCCCCGACCCCATCCGGACCTGCATCCACCGGGTCAGCTTCATGTGGTGCGCCGACAGCATGCTCTACCACTGCATGTCCGACCCGGAGGGAGAGTACTCGGACCCGTGCTCGTGCGACACCAGCGAGGAACGTTTCTGCCTTCGCTGGACGGCCCTGTTGGGTCTGTCGGTGTTGGCGCCCTGTCTGTGCTGCTACCCGCCGCTTCACGCGTGCCACCGCTGCGGCGTGGCCTGCGGTTGCTGCGGAGGAAAGCACAAGGCTGTCGGCTGAACCCCCCCGCCCGTCCCGAATGAACCCTAAACTCCCCTCGGAACACTAGCACTGAGGATGGCAGGAGCGGACGAAACCGACGCTGCCCAGTTGGCGCTTTTACTGTCCTTAACTTTATGGTCTCTCCTGGTTCCAGAAAACAATTCATGCATTATCTGGCTTGAAAACGTTCTCTTTTGGTTGTTTTATATATATATATATATATATGTTCTTTTCTTTCCCTTTTGTTGTGGATGTTTCTCTCAGTTCTTCATGAAAGAAATGGCTCTTTTGTCAGGTGGCTCTTGGAGCCTTCATGTCATGCATTACTTATGCAGGTACTTTATATTTTGTACACTGATTTGACTTCTCCAGAACTTGAATCGCTTCGATATGCAGTCGTTTTGGTTTTGCGTTCGTCCGCCTTGGCCAGCAAAGGGAGAAATTCTCTGTTTACTCTTCCTGAACAGGTCCGTACATAAACTGGCATTTATATCCCAAGCCCTTTAACCGTTCAGAACAATAACAATGAGATTAGCTCGAGACACTAAACCTGTAGTCAGAAACGTCCGTTTGTAGTGCGTTTGTGGGAGAGCGTGTGTGTCGATGCCTGCGTGCATGTTTGTATCACAGCATTGTATCACAGCATAGCATTGTCGTTATTATATTTAAGCCAAATTTACATAAGCTGCATCCAGAGTATATTTAAATACTGTATGCTCATATGTATATGTTTCAAATCGAATTATTGTAATCACCTTCGACAGCCACAGCTGCGCTTCAGACATAGCACATTTTCCTTAGAGTTGACTTCTTTTGGATGTGAGGGTGGCTTTTGAGTTTGATGCATATTTGATATCCAAAGATTATTTTTGTCATATTTATGTTCGCGGTCAGTTGAATCACCAGCCAAAGGGAGAAGAAAAAAAAATAGAGAGAAATCATCAGACTGTGGGCAAAAAAAGCACAGCCATATGGGGAAAGAGAAGTTTCCAGTGAGCCCACGCCGCTTAAACTGCAAAAAGGAATCTTTCTTTTAAACATATTTTTTGTCTTGAAAAACGTAATCTAAATATCCTCACAACAAAGTACTTTTTTAGAATTTTTTTGTGTGTTTTTTTTAGAAATTATACCTGAATTTGGTTGAATTTTACCTTATTTTTATTTATTTATTATAGATTTCTATTGATTGAAACAAACCTCACACAATTGTATTAGATGTATGCTTAAAACAAGAAGAAAAATCAGTTTGCCAATGGAATAAGAAAAAAAAAAAAACCAAGACAAAATAATATTTAATGCAGCTTTGCTTCTCATGTCATTTTTGTTTGTTTTAGGACGGTTCAGATATTTTTACTGGAAAACAAGACAAAAATATGAATTAATGAAATGATTTTATGCTGTCAATTTGAGAAAACACTAAAGCGCGATCTTTTTTCCCTTACTGACAGATGGCTCATAATTTGTCTCTATGATCTCTAGAAAATGGAAGGAAGTGTTGTCTCAAAGATGTTTCCAGCTCCAGTCCTGTTCTCTAAGAAAAATGAAAGGAAACCGAAAAATAAGCTTGATTTTAAGGGTGCTTTATAGAGGGACATTTGCCAAACCGATCTCCAGTTTCTTCATGACAAAAACTTAACGCCTTAATTTTTGCGAGGACATTAAAATGAACCAATGCAGTTCCTCAAAGAAGAGAAAATAGTGAAAAGATATTTTTCGATTATATAAAAAACAACACCCCAATAGTTAGGCCTTTCTTTTCAAAATTAAAAAGTGCTCCAGTTATTCGCGGGAGTCAAATGGCATGGTACAATCGTATGTGTCGAGTCTGTCTCTATCACCTCACCCACACCTGTGAAGGACTTCATAGTTAACCAGTCACCTTCCTCTGCTCATGCTCTGTCTGAATAAATCATCCCCTGACAAAGCAGTGCTCTCAGAGATACTCAAAGTGTATGTGAGCAGTCAAAGAATGTACAGTATATGTGCGTCAGATGCTTCTTCATGTGGTGTGTTCTCAAATGACGTCGTGAAACTCTTAAAAATAAAGGTTCTTTAACGGTTCGTTGAAGAACCTGTTCTCAGCAAGAACCATTTTTCGTTATAAAGGTTCTTTGGAGATCAAAACAAGCTCTTGATGTCACGTTATTGGTTCAAAGATTGGTACGGAATCGCATACTACTCCTACTAGTGGTATGCAGTTTTTTTTAAATGCATAGTATATCCAAACAACATTCACCAGAATCTGCAGTATGCATGTATACTATCCCACAATGCAACGAGGTTGACTTGACCTTCCATTTTCAGTGTGATGGATGAAAATATCAAATAAGGCCTGTTCACGCCAAGGGTGATAACTGTTATAATAACTATATTAGTGTCCACTGATTGGCTGTCAGTATATTTATCGTTGATCAGCTGAACAAAATGGTTCCGAAAGTGATTCCAACAATATTGTTCCTCTGTGTCGTTATCATTATAGCTGTTGTGAACTTCACTATTCTCATAGAATTACAATGATTGTTAAAACGTTATAGTTACAGTTAGCATTCTTGATGTGAGCAGGCTTAGGAAGTCAGCCACAATTTTTAACATTTCTTTTCTGACTCATCGTTTGATCGGATTGGAAATAAATATATAATTAACACAAAAAAATTTTTTCTTTAATTATTATTATTTATGAAAACAAATGTCTAAAAATAATAATTATCATTATTATTTGTCGAATTTATCATGCAATGTGATGAGATGATGTGAGAATAATGTGATTGTTGTGGAATTGTATACAGCAAAATGACTGTGCTGTATACAAAATCGCATTGTATACAAACCAGTATTCAGTTAATATTCAATTCTGCCAGTATTCAATTCTGAACACGGTCTTTGTATCATCTGTTTTGTGTTCTTTGAAGTGCTTCAATTTTGTATTTTTTTCTAGGAAATTATATTTTTATTACCTATTCTGTGCACTGTAAAAAAAAAAGATATGATCAGTAATTCATGACAGCTTATGTTTTTACATTACTTTAACTCATCAAATAAGTTGAACAATATCAACTTTTTTTTTATAAGTTATATGAAATTCAACTTGATTTTTTAAAAAGTCGGTTAATGTAATTTAAGTTGAAATGACTTGTACAACCAAGTTGCTTATACTTAAAAATTTAAGGCATTAAGCTTTGAAACATTTTAAGATTTAGTTTCCCTTGTACTTAACATGTTCCCCTTGTTCTTACTTTTCTAAGCTATCTAACACATTATGTGTAAAATGTTCAGGTTTAGATGAAAAACAAACATTCAATGTGGTCTCAGACTTTTGGACCTTTTCGAAAGAACCGTAGAACTTAAAAAGGTTCATGTTGAAAAAGCCTTTATTTTTAAGAGTGGGGTGCTGCTGTGTGGTTTCACTCTCACAAAAAAAAAAAAAAGGTACAAAAGCTGTCACTGGGACGTACCTTTAAAAAAAAAAAGGTACAACTTTGTACCTTAATTACTCCTAAAGAGTGCATATTAGTACCCAAAGCGTACATATTAGTACCATTTGAAAAGGTGCTGCCCCAGTGACAACTTTTGTACCTTTTTGTCTGCGAGTGTTCATTAGTGTGGAGGCGCCGCTGTGGCTTCACTGGAGTCCTCTCGCTGATGGGTGGCAGCTGTCACTGTGTCTTTCATTTAACACGTGTCCTTTCTGTATCAGAGTACGTCAGCTTCTGCAATACCGCCGTCATCTGAGCTTAGAGAAGAGCTGCGTTTTATTTGTCTATCTGTGGTATTGGAAAGTTAGCCCAAAGCATTCTGTACGAACGTCTGTCCTGGTGCAACGTCTTGCTGCGACACGCATTTACCTGTTAAAAAGTGCCTGAAGCATCATTTTAATCTCCTTGTATACTAAAAAAGAGAAAAGAAACAGAAAAAGATTAAAAAAAAAAAAAGAAATAAACCCTATTGATTAGTTTTGTTTTTTACAATCCAAATTTTTACCTCTGTAAAAAGCAAAAAAAAAAATCTATATCAAGTGTATGATGTACATGTTTATTTCTATTTTTTTTAACCGTTTCTAACATTTATGATCAATGTAGCTCCTGCTTTTAGGAAAAGATGGAAAAAAGAAAGTACTTTGTAAATACCAGTTGATCATATCAGACTACAGTTCTACATGTTTGTCAGAGGTCCCAATAAAAATGAAAGAAACCAGTAACCCGTCTACATTCATGCTGTTTGCCACGAGCTATTGTTCACTTAAAAAAATGCTAATTTGATCAATTTGGTTGGATTTAGACTTTGACCCAGTATTATTTTAGTATCATAGAGATACCATTATAGTTTTAATTAATGTTTTGAATATTTTAAATATTTATTTTCTGTTTTCATTTTAGTTTTTGTTAAAGTATTAGTCGTTTTTGACATTTGTTTTTATGTAGCTTTGATTATTATTTTGAATCAGTTTTTATTTGTATATTTTCAGTTTTCATTTTAATTTTAAAGTATTAGTAGTTTTTGTCATTTTTGTTGGTTTTTATCTATGTAGTTTTGATTAATATTTTGAATTAGTTTTTATTTTTATATTTTCAGTTTTCATTTGAATTTTAGTTGAAGTATTAGTAGTTTTTGTCATTAATTTAGGTATAGTTTAAGTAATTTTGTTGTGTGTTTTTGTATTATTATTATTACTTTAAATATGTTTAAAAAGTTATTATTATTTTTTATTTCACTTTTATTTTTAGTTATTTCAGTAAGTCCAGTTAAACTAAATGAAAATGAGAAATGTTGCCTTGGCAACTAACTGAATTTTTTTTTTAAAGAAGTTTTTATTTACATTTTTTTTAATACTTTTTTAGTGTTTTGATTTATTTTATTTCAATTTTATTTTAATTCAAGTAACTTTTTTAATGGTTTTATATTTACTATAGTTAACTTTAGATAACCCTGCTTTGACCTCCTATGTGTCCCGTTGAACTAGGTGACATTTTGGTGTCCTTTAGCCATCAGTTCACCCATACGAACTGGTCATTGGTCCTCGGAAAGCTGAAATGAGTCAAAATTGCAGATGGACCACGTGACACTCTTCCCCTGGCTCCAAATGTGCTTCTAGCCAGACGTGACTGCAATGCTCGCATCTGGACCCAGAAGCCTTTGAGCAGCTCAAACATGTGAAAGCCATACAGGACATTAAGC